TAATTTACAAGGTTTGGCTACAATCTGAAGTTTGTCTATTTTACTGCAGATAAAGTTCTGCAGCTCTCAGAGACCACCCACACCACTGGCTCCCGAAATGATCCTGTGAGCTGCAAGAATCTATAAGATCATACATAGGGCATGCTAGATTGTTTATTTATTGTTTGAATTGATTTGAGAAGGCTGCCTTCTGACACATCCCAAATGCAAAAGGCTCCCACAAAGATTATCAGTCTATAATCTGTAATAAAATAAAGGATAGCACACAGCACCATAGAGTGTGGCAAATTCATTGTAAAGCATTGTAATACAAGCTTATTATTTACATATATTACAAATATTTTTAGGTTTTCGGAAGAGGGCGTATTTTATGCAAGCGCTCCAAGATGCCGTCCTGCGTGAAGGGCGCTATATAAATGCAAGTTGTTGTTGTTATTTTGAGACTTATGCTGACCCATTTTGGGGACGTAATGCACCAAAGTTTGAATATCAAATCATATAGTGTTGGATTTCCTTCCTGAGGTTGTACGCCTGTATTGCTAATGGAAATATGCTTAGGTTAAGCTACATGTGTGTGCGGAAAAAATTGTAATTAATAGTCAACAAAAAGGATTGCAGATAATCCTAGAATCCTTTACAGTTCACAACTTTGTTAGATCCCACGGGTATTTGTAGCTATAGCTGATGCTATAACTTCTGTGATGTCCATGATTCACCAGCTCCATCCTTTACTTTGCAGAACACTTTGCTAAGAGATGTTTTTGTGCACGATCCTTTTATAATAAAAGCAGTACTTCAATACAGTCAGACAAACTAGTTATTCTCATTATCCTTCTCGAGTGTTCACCTATAAAATATGCAATCACTCCACTTTATAGTAAATCATGTGCAGTGCTTTAAGACTACCTCCTGATGTGTAAGGTACTCTATAAAATGCAAGAATTATTTTATTATTATTGTTCCTACAATCTTATTTTCATCATCAATTCAGACCTACACAAAACTGATCATTCAAAGATTGAGGGCTCCTTTAAATAACTAACTTGTATTCTTAAAATAATTTTTTAACACATTGGTGTTTTTTGTGAAAAGATCACACCCCAAAAAACTAAAATTGGGCAACATGATATGATAACAACTTACTGGAGACCAAGTTGTGTAACTAAATAATGGAGCAAATTATACATGTCTGATTAAAAACAAGAAATTAATTAAAACACCTGCAAAAATAATAAGAGTGATATTATGCGAATTAGGGGAAAAGCAGCAAAAATGGCAATTTACAGCAACAACTTACATTTATATAGAGCCCTTCACGCAGGGTAACATCTTGGAATGCTTTGTCGTTTAATCACTTAAGTTATGTCATAGAAAACACATCGGGAGCCCATATACATCAAACTGAAATGTGAGAACTCGGCTCGGATGAAAATAAGCTACTTTGTGCTTTCTTCTCCATAAACCATTAACAATTGGATTAATTAGTCACTCTCACTGAGTTTACATTTGCTCCCTTCACCAATAGTCAACACTGTGACTGGCTAAGTCTATGCTCAATAAGAGGCTGCACACCACCTTCCGTTCCATCAAGCAACTAACAGAAATTAGCCACAGAAACCATCTATGTTTTCTGGCACAGTAACAGCAAAGGGAACTGTAGCATGATTACAATTCATTATTTTGTCTCCATGTGCATGATCACCATCAGTGGGTGAAATGGATGAGCTGGCCAGAGTACACAATGTGGGACATGGTCCATTTAATTGGCCTGGTTCCATTTGGAAGTTTGACACTCAATCCCAATTGGTAACAACAAAATTGCTATCCCAGGTAAAACAAGTACTACTTTCTAGCATAGAAGCGTGTTTAGTCAAGCAGAGTTACTGGAATGTTTGAGGTTTCAGCTACTGTCTTTTTGAACTGGTGGTCCTATATGAAAGCCACTACTCTTGAAGTCCTGTGGGTCTTCCTTTGAGGTCTTTTGATTCACACTGGCAATGTTCCATTAATTTTATCTCGTACAGAACAATTTAGAATATGAAGGACTTACTGATAATTCCCTGAAGTGGCACAATAATCCAACCTATTTGCTCACACAGGCTCACAAAGTCTAGGAGAAGGCACAATGTGAAGGTGACACAGGCAAATATATTGTAGAGCACCATCTGGCCTTCAACCAGATTCCGACTTCTCTTCCCCAAATAAGGTATAATAACTATAAGCAAACATTCATTATCAAAGAGTTAAATAAGTATCAACCATTCACTTTGCTACTTACAAGGTTCAAAATAACTGTAGTTATTTATATGTTTTCTACGGTTATGTTATCTAGGGCGTAGTAGAAAATATGATTCAAAAGGAGTGAAAATACAAGCAATAGGATCTCTCATTTACATATATCATTATGTCAAACCTCTGTTAAATTGGTCTGCAGACTTCTTGCAAAAGCACACACAGTTCTTTTCATTTCATTTAAGATGAGATCAACTGCAAACAATTAAAAATGCTGCAGTCGGTGTCTTTCTCTTCACTATGTCCACAAGACTGGTTCAGTAACTCCAAGCACACCATATGGACCCATTGTAGGAAACTGTGGTACGCTGATGGACTCCATTTTCAATCATTCTGACATGTGCATGTTGCAAATTTGGATCTTGATTTCTTGCATTGCATATTACAGGGGACTGGCATTTGGTACTGGCCTGGCCATAAATTAAACTTCAGAAATCGACACTCAGGCATTTGTACGACTACTCTCAGGCACTCCCCCACATTTACGCTAATTTCCTTATCTTAATGGTAAACGAAAGATGCAGAGTCCCATAGCTCTGATACAGCATTTCATTTCTTCTTCAATTTATTTTCTTTGAGTTTTTTTGGGCTCCCCACAACCCACTCCAAAATCTTTGGTGACTTTCTATCCCTAACAAGGCATTGTGGATATCTAGAACTCAGTCACTAATCAATTAGTAGTAACTTCATTTTGGATCTATACCAGTAACTCCATAATGGGTATAATAATAATAATCCTTGCATTTGATATGTTTCACGTTCTGAGGAAATCGCAAAGTGCTTCATAGGATTCATTTCAAGGTATAGTGAATGTGTAATTTGTAGGTGAACTCAACAACCAATTTGTGCATAGTGATGTCCCAAAAACCAGACATAAAGTGAAAAACCAAATTATCTGGGAAACAGTTGACCAGGACACTGGAAGAGATGCCTTCTCTTTTTGAGTAGTGGCATGGGATCCTGAACCTCCACCTGAAAAGGCAGGTGAGACCTCGGTTTAACGTCTCATATGAAGGAGGTCAATAACAACAGCTTTGATGATTTTCTGTCCAAGAAAAAAACTCAACACATGAAATCAGGCTAGTATCTGAGCACAACCAGTCCTGCCACTATAATAATAATCTTTGCATTTGAAATAGCGCTTTATCACGTCTTCGAGACGTCTCAAAGCTCTTCACAGAATATATTGTAAAGTAAATTGACTATTTTGTGGGCAAAATAGAGTTCAAGAGAGTGAACTAGAGTTCCAACACACGGTATTACTGCACAGTTGTGTCATTTTTCAGGCTTTCAAATGCCACTTATAACTGCTCACCCAATAACCAAACTCTGTCAGTAAGGTTTATCCTCGGTCTCCACAAAAGGCTCATGATCTGCCTTCAGTAGGAGCAAAATACTTTGTATGAGTGCAAAGGCTGTCTGATGTTTCTCACCCTCACTGGGTTCAAAACCATCATTGTATGTTTAGCAGCACAAATAGACATTGAATATCCTAACTCACTACTTTCTGCGGTATCTGATATCATTGGGCTCAGCAACACTGTAGCAAACACATAAAACAGTTTTCATCTCAGCAGCTGGTGGTGGTTGATGGTCCCGATAAGGTAATCAAATGCCTGATGGAGCTTAGGTAAATTAGATTAAATATCCTTGCATTTGGTATTGCACCTCATCATGTCAAAATGTTTCAAGGCGTTTTACAGAATTTTCTGTAAAGTAGTGACCTGTAGCCAAACGCAGCAGCCAATTTGCATATAGCAATGTTCCATAAACAGATTAGAAGTGAACGACCGGTTTCTTTTTTATAATCTGGAGAATTGTTGGGCACGGCAAAACGTTGGGCAAGTTTCCTTACTCTATACATCTCTGTTTACATAATAATAAGTAGGAATCCTGTTGTTAGTCAATTGGTGGATAGCTTTTCCATGGGTAATAATCCCTTAAAAAAAATTTGGTCACTCAATCCACAACTGTTTGTAAACATTTCTGTGCACAATTGGCTGCCCTGTTTTGTCTACAAAAATATACCGTCAATTCACTTTACGGTGTATTCTGTGAAGTACTTTGAGACATCTTGAAGACATGATAAGGTGCTATATCAAATGCAAGGACTATTATTATTTATTATTGTTGATCATGAGAAACTGCCTTCCTTTTTGAATAGCACAATGGGATCTTTAACATCCGCCTGAGCAGGCAGATGTGGTACCTTGGTTTTATCATCGCATCTGAAGGAAGGCACCACCAACAATGCAGTACTGCAATGCAATGTCAGCGTAAAGTACAGTATGTACAATGTATCAGTATAAAGTCAAAACTCCTGTCTTGGAGCTTGCATCAACAACATTCAGTGTCAGAAGCGAGAGTACCACCAATGGAGCCAGTCTGACACCCTGATTCGGATCATCGTAAGTTAAAATCCCAACATACTATGTCACTTATTTTAAATAAAATAGCAATTAGTTCAACTTTTGGTCAGCTCACAAGATGTAAAGTAATAATCCCATTCACCTCCCTCGCAAGCATACACACAGTTTCAGAACAATTCACAACATCAGGGTCTTCTTCTGTTCAATGAAAGGCGACATATGAAATGTTCACTCAATCTCTTTCTGTACCTGTATGGCCTCAGATATGAACACGCAAGCTCCCATTCTCGCACATAGACACATATGCACAGTTTCAGTATAATATCAAATTCTATCTACCTGTATGGCTTCGAATGTGAACCCGCAAGGTCCCATTACTGGCAAACTTCTGGCCGCAGTATGGACAGATCTTCTCCTTCTCCCCAGTATGTGTCTGTGAGAAAGAAGGTAGCCATTATAATCATTCAGTTCAAAAGGAAATACTTGCTCACAGCAAATCTTTTTAACACAGACCAGGGGGTATAAAGGAAAAAATGGAAATACCGGAAATCTGAAATGAAATGAAGATGTTGGATTTACAAAGTGGTCGATTTGTACCTGAAAAAGCTTAGGTTAATACTTAAGTTGTAGCCCTTTATCCCTCACGTTATGAATTTTATTAAAACCATATAGTTACATGTAGTTTTGCTTCACTTGCAACATGTAGTGTATGCATTGACACTGAAAATCTAAAAACAATAAGAAAACTGTAAGACAATGCTATATGCTGGTGTGAGGTCTGAGTGATATGTGTGAGGTACTTCTGATTACTACTTGGATTCCTTAATCAAGGAATCCCATTTAAGGAATCCTGTTGGAGAGCACTGCATTGTAGTACCCAGAATTTCACTTGGAGTTGCTATCCATTAAACTGAAATATTGTTTGTTTACTGTGTTCAAAAAGAATACAAACAACAACAACAAGATTCCATTTATTGAGCGCCTTTCACGTCGGGAGGACGTCCCAAAGCGCTGTACAGTTGGGTCAGGACCCGAGCAGGGGGGAAATGGTCAGGGTGAGGGGAGGAAAGGGAGGGAGCGAGGAGGGGGTAGAGTGTCGAGAGGGGAGCTGAAGGCTCGGTCAAAGAGAAAGGTCTTGAGACCGGCCTTGAAGGAGGAAAGGGAGGAGGCGGCGAAGGCACTGGAGGATAGAGTTCCAGAGTCTAGGGGCTGAGAGGCTGAAGGCCCGACCATCGATGGTAGGGCAGTTGGGGCGGGGGATGTGGAGCAGACCGGAGCCAGAGGAACGGAGGGTACGGGCAGGTAGGTAGGGGGATAGTAGGTCAAAGCAGACTACAATTTGTAAGATATGCTGCACTAATTAGACAGAATATATATGCCATCTACATCTGTGTTGTATGTGAGTGTATATATATATATTTAATGTGTATGTATGTATGTGTGTGTATATATATTTAATGTGTATGTATGTGTGTGTATGTATATATGTTTAATGTGTATGTATGTGTGTATAGAGTAGGTTACACTGAGGGAAGTGGTTTATTCAGCTGCTTAATAGTGCTGGGAGTTGAGTCACTTTCCTATCAGCAATATGATGATGTGGAAGCCAGTATTTACAACCTACTTCACATTGGTTGGGGTCTGTATAAAAAACGCCTGATTTCAGATTTATATACTGCTGCACAGTTCAGCCACACATACAGAACATTGATTTCAGGTTTTTTAAGAAGGGTTGCACGTTCGACTCTTTTATCACATTTATCAAATGGTTTGTTGAAACTTCTTGGGCAGTTCAATGTCTTCAACAACTTTCAACACTGCACTTGGGAGCGAGCTCAGTAGAATCACGCTCGTCGTGTTTACACCATGTGGGCTTAGGTTGTGTTGCTCCCAAAACCGATTCCTCCAGATGGTGTCAGAAGCGAGTTTCCAATGGGATTCCCACTGACTTAAATCTACTACACATTTGGCAGTGACTGTATTACAGACCAGTATTAAGGAGTATTATAGTAAAATGATGTAGCAAAAGTGGAAGAGCAAGCAGCAATGTTATATCAAACTATATTACCTACAGTGAGGTGTAATTATACAAACATATTATCATAAGGATACAACAGTTGCTATTGCAAACCCATTTACCAGAAACTACAGATAATTCTTGTTCCAAAGAGTAACTACAATTTCAACTAAACCAATGTATTCACGTAGGATGGGACTGAAAGGAACTCCATTTATCTCAAAAGCTTGCTGTTGTCATCTCCATGGAAATGGGAATGTTGTTCATTTTTAATGGCAAATAACATCTGAAACATTATTTCTTGAAAACCAAAATTCAAACCCTGCAGCTACAGAGATTGAGATAATTCCAATGTGACTTGAGCACCTCAGAACAACATATAAATCATCTGTAAAAAAATTATTTTGCACGCATTTAGGCTACTAGATTTATGATTCGCCCAAAAGTTAGTCTTAGGAATCAATCTTAATTTGCAGATTTCAATATAATGACCTATTGGGGCTTCTTTCCTGAAATGAATGTTACAAAAAAAAGGTTGTTTGATGAATGGAATGCATACTGATACTGGGAAAATGGCTTTTAAGGAGGAAATCTTTCTGAACTCTACATTTTTATGATGTATTAAGTATATCTAATGCTGCTTCCTTATCTTTACTTAACTTACCAAAATGCCATATTGACCAAAAACGGGTTTCTCTGACCTATTGGACTAAATTCTTTGGAGAACTCACATTTCCACAATGTATTTGCCAAATGCATGCCTATTTAAGCAGGGAGACATTTCCATTAGGGGAAGACTTGTGAATTGCAATACTAGCATCACATAAAATTTATGGTCTGGAAAAGATTAGCAACGTACTTAACCAGAGATTATTTTATTAAGAGTAGCACTTGACAGCTTTATTCAAAAATGAAAAGTAAGAAAGAAGATTGAGTCGACCAGGGGCAGAGGGAATGCATTGCCAGCCAGTGAGGTAACACATTCCTTGCTGGAAGTTCCAACTTGTTAGTTTATATCCTGCACTCTGATATGTTCAGGCAACAAGAACGCTGGAAAAGAAATGACTTTTGCTTCAAGCGCGTGTGTGCAGTTGCTGTTTGCTGTTCAGTAGCATGATCAGCAGTAATGGGGAATATGGGGAGGACAGATCCTGTGCATTGACATTGGGCCTAAATGGTATTTCAAATGGATTTTATTGGAAGCTTGGAATTAATCCTGTCCGGCTGAAAATTGCTGTTCGGTTCATTTCACACAACAGGTAAATTCTGCTCCAACTTTGCCCTGCTGTAATGCAAAAATAATAATTTCTTCCTCTTCAAATGTTGAACCAATTCCCTTTAAATGTTATGGCCTCACCCTCAACAGCTACATGAGGAAAAACATTTTATGTTCTACAAAGCCTCTGCATGAGTTAGTTTCTTTTAACCTCCCTGTAACTGTTCCTATTACGAGCTGAGTTTATACCTCCTTCTTACAATTTAACAAGCAGTGGGAATAATCTTTCACTGTTTATCTTCTTGAAACATTTAAAAAATGTAACGATCCCTATTAGATTCCCTCTTAAATTTCACTATCCGGTGAAAACAGACCAAATTGAGAGATGGCGAGGATAGTTGAGAGCATTGCCACACATCTTTCCCATTAAAATGGTATTCACTGCAGAATTACAGATAGTTCTCATCTTATCAATGCTGCCAGTCATTAATAATAAATAATTTTCCTTGCATTTGATATAGTGTCTTTCACATCGAGAGGATGTCTCAAAGCAGTGTAAAGTGTGACTGTATTTTGTAGGCAAACTGCTTTCAACACTTATAATGATCCTTACCTTTGATTTTGCACCAAGAATGTCTCAAAGCACTTTACATAGTTTTCGGTAAATTATTTGTAACAAACATAACAGCCAGTTAGCACACAGATTCGTCTCACAAATGGCTATGAAGTGATTGACTAATTTTCATCTGAGGAAATGTTGGCAAGGACATGATAACCCGTCAACCCGGAATTTGGTCATTTCCGACATCGCTTCCTCTGTACTGCACATGTACAAAATGGGAAGTGATGTCAGTGATGACCTAATGATGTGAGGGTCGGCCAATTTAGGAGGGCAACATTTGCCGTGCAGAAAGCAAGTGGGCTGGCTGCGTGCATGTATAGTAAATGACGCCTGGAGCCACACTGAAATCCTGTTTTAAACCATTATAATAGGGCTGCCCTGAAGCATTATGTCTGGTTAGAAACAGTATTGATAAAAGGCACTATTTTACAGTACTGCCTCTAACCCCATTGAGCTGGATTAGATCCTCACACAGCCCAAAATGCATATTGCTTTCTTGAGAGTCCCAGAAAACATGTATGTAGGTATTCTTTGTAAGGTTATAAGCAAAGAGCAATAATGAACCTCCTGGTCATGTAGTAGGTGGTAATTGAAGGCAAGTTGCTTTATTGAAACAACTGCCTGTTCTAAATTACAACCTATTATACCTTTGTAGATCTATTATGATTTATAGTGCAGTGGGCTCAACACACCCTGAGACTCAACATTACCAAACATGCTCCAGGCTCTGCGCAAAACAGTGGTCACCATTTTATTTCCTTCTTGTAAGTAAGAAAATAAACAACACGAGCCATATGACACAGACCAACTGTGACCATAAGCAAAGTAAATAATGTGAGCAGACAATGCAGTTGGTTTTGCAGTTCTGCACCCACCCTTTGGAACTGAATCCCACAGTCCTTTTGCCTTGCTCCCTCCGTTGCCTCCTTCAAGGCATTTTTCAAAGCCCTCTTCTTCGACCGTTTCTTCGGCCACCCTCCTACCCCTTCTGATCCCAACCACCAGCTCGGGTCCAAATCCCTGACTGTCCAGCGCCATGGGACATCCTCCTGACGTGAAAGACGCTTTACAAATGTAATTTGTTGTTTGTTGTTATGCATTAGTTATTACTCCTCGGTGTTCCTCCTTTCACATGTCCCACATCTGTACAAAGCCTTTCATTGCTTTCCCATCCACTGGAGGCGATAATATAAAAAGATTTTATCAAAATAAGCGTTAACCAGACGGAGTTGCAGAATTCCAGAAATTATTTTCAGCGAGAACAATGGACAAAATGGATTAAATTCTAACTCTCATTTTCTTTATGCTATAAAATGTTCAAACTCTTGCGCGTAAAACTGCTGTTGAAATATTTTGTTGCCGGATGCTAATATTGAAATTGTTTAATGTTATACAAATTTAAAATTGAGATCCAGAAACTGTTCTTATGAAACAATGAAACAGAACTGCAAAATCGCACAAAGAATAGGAATACAAGGCAAACCCAATATAACACCCACTCCTTTCATGGGGGTGTTATGATGTGGCTTCACCAATGTCCTCAGGACCTGCTTTAAGCAGAAGCATGTGGTTTGTGGC